TCTTGACTTTCTTTAGTGTGCACACACTTTGGGTGCAAATTTACAAAGCAGATTTGTTTTATGTTCAACAACAGTTCATGCACACTTGGTTTCACGCCCCGATTACCCTCCCCAACCATAAAAACTCTCCTGCCCTCCCGCCCCTGTGACCACCCCCTCCCTGTGCCCTTCTAATCTGTGCACTCCTGTCTGTCCAACCTTCCCTCTGTGTGAATGCTGCCCCTCTGGAATCTCATGCCTGATTGCTCTAAGAGGGGCATCTCCCTAGAGTAGGTGGGTGCATCGCCATGGGGTAGCTGTTCTGCATGTAGGTCTTTCCGCTCTTGAGCCGAGAGCCAATCCATGAAGTGAGTCCATTCCTAGGCCCGAAGGGTAACCCGGGGCCATAGTCTCGGGAGTTCTAACAGTCTCTATCTGACCAGTGATTCTGGAACTTTTTGTTAAACTCTGACTTTTCTGATGGCATCATCCATAGTCTTATATCCCTGTAGCAAACTTAGGAACCTGTGACATCATCAAAACACAAAAATACCTCCCTTCAGACAGCAAAATCACAGTATTAAAACCAGATGTGATGGGCTTTATGACCTATTATATTCCCTATTTCTGTCACCCGTCTTTCCCTTTTTTTAAATGGCATTTTTTTTAATAGTTTAATGTTTAAAAACAAAACAAAACAAAACTCAGGCAGAAGAAACTAAAGCTAGGACAGCATTATGAGATTGGTGACAAAGCCAGTGACAGAGTAAGGCCAGGTCTCCTGACTTCCAAATTTAGAACTCTTTCCACAAAATCTTCAGAGGAAGACAATCCTTCAAGGTCCCAAGTGTGCTAGCCAATACTTCAAACCTGATTGATGACTATTGTCTAAATACAATGATGACGATAATAGCAAACTCAAGTATACTATACTCTGAATACTTTACAAGGTTCAAATAATTTTAACCCTCACAACAATCCTATGAGGTAGATACTATTATCAGTAAGTCAACTCCACTTTTCCAGATGGAGAAATGCAACTCAAGGATGTTAACTTGCCCAAAGGCATGCAACTAGTACGTGGCAAAGCCAGGAAATAGACTGAGGCAGTCTGGTCCCAGAGCTCTTAACGTTATTTTGTGTAATTCCTCTTATAACTCAATGTAAGTACAACACTATGAATTAGAATCAGATAAGGTTGGTTCCTATGAGGCAGAGGTCAAATATACCTCCACTTTGCCACTTCTCCATTATTTCACTATTTCTCTGCTGTGTTCAATAATTCACTGCAACAGTCACACAGAACTCACAAGAACTCACAGTTATGTGGTTTATTAGGGTAACAACACAGAAGTAACAGAATACAATTCAGGATGTAGCTTGGGGCCAACTTTAGGAAACTCATGCTACAACTGAGGAAAAAGTGTACAGGTGAGTTCTGGGAAGGTCCCTGAGGAAGAGAGCATTTCTCTCCTTTTGTCAACAAGGGCAACTTCAGACAAGCTCTCCTCTGGGTCTTTCTTACAGTGACTCTTTGGGAGGCTCTCCTCTCTCTCAGGACCACTGTACCCTCAGATTCCAGTGTTTCTAGTCCAGCCCATCTACTCCTTGTCAATTACAAGACAGGGTCCCTAACTCTAGGTAAAGGTTAGCTACTCGGCAGGGCTCCCCAGCCAATCTGGGTAAAGATCCAGCCAATCCCTGTAAAGGCCAACTACCAGACAGGGCCCTGAGCCAATCCCTTAGGTAGATCATAAACTGACCAATCCTTGCAAGCTGCTTATGTGGATACCAAGCCAACCAATCCTTTGACAGACTGTGGCTGGACTAATTATTTTGGGAGAATTTTCAAACCCAAGGCCAGAAAGGCCAAATAAGAGAAACCCACTGCACTGCACTCAGATAAACCAATATTTTCCTAAATTCTTTAGTCTAAGAGTAATAATAATCATTCAGTAGAACCTTCAAATAATCCATAGGTTTTGTTTCACAGTATCAGTGTTAGAAAGGGGTATATCTATTGACTGTATTAAAGTAATATCTCAGGTTTCAAATACAGCAAACTAATGAATGGAACTTACATAAGCCAGGTTAACTACTTAACACAATTCTATAAACCTAGAGATGAGCATTTTAAAAACATGTACTGGAAAGCTTAGCTAATGTTCTTCAAACTTGCAGATTTTTCTTGACACATAATTATAAGCACAAATTAGCTTGATATAACATGAGTGGATTTATTTCTTAAGATTCGAGTGCAAACTTAAAAATAAACAAAGCTTTTCATCCATAATAAACACAAAAATCTAATTCACAACCCTGCAGTCGTGCATTTAAACAGAAGGTACAAATATGAATACATTCTATTTGTAACTACATTTAAAAATTAAAACATTTCTCTCCAAATCCAAAATACCACACAATCTTTAACCTGTTGTCATTTAATTACCTTAGAAATATCTGTCATATACTATCAGGAAAACATAGGCAAGGAGTACTAATCGGTTTCTGTATCTGAAGAAACATTACTCTCCTTAACTTCTGACCCTTTGAATCATTCATCTTTATTTCAGTTCTGATAAACCATACAATTATACCTCTGTTATAGAAAATAAAAATGAATAAAAATATCAAGGAGGTAAAAAGATACATCTCATGTAATTAAAGCAAAAGTCACAAGTGTTGGACTTAGAAATGTGCGTATTTGTAGTAAATATTTTAAGTTCAACTTTATTTGATGGCTGACATGTTGCAATAATATTTAACAGTGAACAATTTAAACAGGTATAAAAACGTGAGATCAAAGTCTTTAGGCTCAAATACTTGAAAAGTACTACGAATATGGAAAGATTTCTGTTTACATAAACATGTGTTTTCTTAGATGAAAAAATCAGGGGGCAGTGGCATCTCCCTGGTCCCTTAACAATATTTGGATTTTCGCAAAGAATTAGCAGCACCCAACCTTAAGTGTTAATTATGTGTTTCTAAAAGGACCTATACAACAGATTAGTTGGCAGTGTTCTAGCTATTGGGAGATGGGCATGGGTGGGGGACATTCGGGGGTGGGTAGGGATGCAAACATCAGAGATAAGATAGTTCATTGCATGCACTCACACATTTAAAATCACCATTCTAAATGGGGGGCAAAAATCACATACTGGAAAAATCTAGGAAAATCATCCTTAAAGGATAAACAAACAGTGGGCCAGGAACAGTAGAAGCTCAATAGTAGTCTATCTGATAATAATGGTTTTTCACTCCTCAAAGGCAAGTTGGGAAGAATGGGAATACTCATACATGTATCTTCAGCAAAAAGTTGCCTAGACTTTTACATTGTAGAACACTGAACAGAAGTCTTTACAAAAACCTTCATTCTTGTTTATAATAATAC